AAGACCAAGACAGAAAAGGAGACTTAGACAAAACTGAAGAAGAAAAGAAGTCGAAGTTGAAAGTGGTGGTGCTGACCCTGTCGCCGTGGAACTTGGCGGGCAGCGCCCAGTAGAGCGGCGCGGGCAGCGGGCCGCGCAGCTGCAGGGCGCCGTGGGCGTGGGCGTGCGCGTGGGCGTGGGGGTGCGGGTGCGCGGGCGCCGCCAGCAGCCCCCCGCCGCCCAGGCGCCGCAGGGCATCGCGCGGGTCGGCGCCTGTGGCCCCGAGGCGCGCGGTGCGCGGCGGCGTCGCCAGCACCTGGCTCCACGCCAGACCGGCCTGCGTGCACGCCGTGCTGCGCCCGAAGCAGAAGCACTGCGTGCAGCCGTCGGGGTTGTCCGCCGACAGCCCGAAGGTGCCCTCGCGACAGCGGTCGCACTGAGCGCCCTCCACGTTCGCCTGCAATTCAGTTCAATTCAATTCAATTCAGTTCAATTCAGTTCAGTTCAATTCAGTTCAATTCAATTCAGTGCAATTCAATTCAGTTCAGTTCAGTTCAATTCAATTCAGTTCAGTTCAATTCAATTCAGTTCAATTCAGTTCAATTCAGTTCAATTCAGTTCAATTCAGTTCAATTCAGTTCAATTCAGTTCAATCCAATCCCATTCAATACAATCCAATTTAATTAAATTCAATCTGTTGCAATTCAATTCAACTCAATTTGACTCAACTCAATTCTAATCAATTCAATTCAAATCAATTCAATTCAAATCAATTCAATTCAAATCAATTCAATCCGTTATAATTCAATTATGTGCCGGGACTCAGGCCATCAGGTCTGCTCTTCCTTTTGACCACACAAATGTCACTACGGTCCTTTCATCGTCTAGCGGAGAAAGAAGGTATCACTCGGGCACGAAAGGCGATTTAAATTTATCTCAGACGCTCCTCCTCCCATAGGTTCTTTTACACGGAGTAAATTTACACCATCATCCGGATTTACTTCCCCTCCGAAAGAAGACGTACGAAGCATTTTTTTCGCTCACAAAAATCTACCCGGCTTCGATCGGATTTGAATCCGAAGACTTGGGTATAACAGGCCGATAAGCTAACCGTTATACCACCGAAGAAGTTGAAGCTGCAGAAAGCGTCGCGCAGACCCGCTCACTTGAGCTCGCTGAAGGCACTAAATTTATGCAATATTTTGTTTCCGGGCGCGAAAGCTGCTATTGTTATTGTACCATAAGTGTAGCGCATGCTATATCAGGAGATGTGGCGGTGTTCCCTTCCTGCTGGAACGTGCTGGAACGTTAACGCCGACCTGCAAATAGGCTAGCGGTGTTTGCTTCCTCCAAGTATCTCTGCCAGCGGAACTCCGCCCCCGCCGCGACAAGCTCCGAGTTCGCGATTGGACTCCCGACATGGGTGGCAGTGTAAGGCATGTACGGATGTGTGTATATAAGTGTATGTGTGAAAGTGGACGGAAAAGGTAGAGGAGCGAAAGATCGCCGGCCGCTAGAAATTTCCTCCAGGCAGCGACTGGATTCGCCCTAGGTATCTGGTAGCCACTCTTGTAAACCCGTCACTATCGGGACTTAGACCTCCCGGTCAGAAACACTGCATATTCAACAGTTACCCTGAGTCATCCGAGGGTAGAGGCGTTCGCTCTAGCACGTGGGCGAAGCTAGACAGCAAACGCAATCACGTATCCGGTAATTATTTAAACAATAATTTTTCAAATTTTTTTAGCCATGAAACACTTTTCGTTTACGAAAATAAATACGAAATCCATTCAACTAGCTTCTGACTTCCAAACTTTTGACATTATTTTATTAATTTGAGTTACAAATATAGAATAGAAAGATACAAAATAAATTGCTATTAGCTCACCAGCAGACCAAGGCACATGGAATGACACCTCACTTGTCTCAAACAACGGACCAGGAGTCTAACCGGGAGTGCAAGTTCCCTGATTATTATGTGTAAGAAAGCGAAAGAAAGAAAAATCAGTTTCCCCACCTATCGCGACGATGAAGCTCGAGATCCCATTGCGTTAATGTCTCTGTTTAAAGAAGGTAGTCAGACCTCACCTCAACGGTGTTAAGTGTCAGGTGATTCGATGTATGAATGTTGTGTGAACATTAACACTGTACTTTGCCGGTTACGGTGAAGGCCGAAACAGAAGATCAGCAGGAGTCTAATCGGTGGCAGTATCAATGGCCTTAGGAGTAAAAATTGGCGACAACGGCAATGGTAATACTTGATGAGGATAATGCCGACTTGTTCAATAGTGCTAAAGTCCCGCGACGTTTTAATAATTTTCTCTGAGACAAATTTCCGTCGAAGTATTCTCATTTAATTAACTTTTTGTCTGCTGCATTACGAAACCTCGCGTCAAATGTAATTGAGGTTACCGCTGAGACAGGGAATGTACAAGTATAATAGCTAGTCTGTTCTCGCGATTCCGCGTCAAATGTTCCTTCTTTTTCTAGCGTACAATTCACTCATCTCTTCACTAATCATCATCATCATTCACTAATCGCCATTGATATTTTCATACTGTCAATGACTATCATTGAAAAAGCAGTCAACCAATTAATTTTTTTCATCACTGCGACAGTAAACTTCACGGTTCTTGTTACGAATGTTTGTGCACGTAAAATTACTTAAGTGCAACATTCTCAAATAATATCATTCTATGTTAGAAATATTCAGCTCACAATTTTAGTTTTTTTGTAGCAGTTTAGAAATTTGATTGATAATTACACATTATAATCATTAAAGATCTTGAATTTTTAACAGTGCGTAAGAAACAGAATTTAAATTATGAAGGCACTTTTATAAAAGCAAAAAATAATATAAACTGAAGTAGAAAGCTTTTACAGAAAAATTATAAACTTTTAAATACAAAATTATAAATGACTGAAATTACATAAAATAAATAATTTTATAGATTTAAAATGCTTAACGAGCGCATGTAAAACGTTAACTAAAAATATACTCTTTTGTAAACATTCAACGCCAACTGTTGAGAGTAGCAGTTAACAGTTGTGGTGGCGGCAACGCCGGTGGAAGTGCTTGGCGCGAAGGAGGCGGGGTCGGACATGCGGCGCCAGATGGATGGAGGTGGGGTGGCATGGTGAACCGAGGAGGAGCTCAACAGCAGGATATGGGACAAGTGGACCAAAGTCGGAGCGGGCAGGGGTCTGTCGCATGGCGCGAGCAGATGAGGTGGGGAGTAGTAGTGAGGAAGCATTAGGTGAGGTAGCACTGTGGAAGTGGTATGGAGCAGGTTGGGAACGGATGTGGTGGAGTGGGATGAGGCTAGGCGAAGAAGAAAGGGGCGCGAATGGTGGGGGGTACGGGTGTGGAGAAAGAGTTGAATGGAGGGGGTGGGAGCGGAGCGGGAGCGAGACGGCAGCGTGCGGGAGCGGATGGACAGAGCAAGGTGGGTGCTGGGCAGGGCGGTATACAAAACGGGAGCGGGGCACGGCGGGTGGAAATGGAACGGAAATCAGGTAGCAACGTGTTGGGGGCGTGAGCGGGGCGTGAGGGGGCGTGAGCGGGCGTGAGGCGGGGGCGTGAGCGGGGCGTGAGCGGGGCGTGCGGGGCGTGGGGGGTGAGCGGGGCGTGAGCTGGCGTGAGCTGGGCGTGAGCGGGGCGTGAGCGGGCGTGAGCGGGGGAGCGGGCGGGGGTGGGAGCAGGGCGAGAGCGGGCGGGAGCGGGGCGTGGCGGGAGCGGGGCGGCAGGGCGGGGCGGGAGCGGGGCAGAAGCGGAGGGGAGCAGGAGTGGGTCTGGGGCGAGCCTGGGTAAGGCGGGGGGGCGGCTGGGTGGGGCTGGGCGGGTCGAGGCCGCGCGAGGTCGCCTGGCCAGTGTCACGCGTCGTGGGCGGCGACGGGCGTCTGCGACCTCTCGCTTCGCCCAGGCGGCTCCGCGTCGGCCTCTTCCAGGCGGCTCCCGCGCGGCCACGCGGCGGCTTCCTGCTTTCCGCCGCAAAAAGGAGTAGATCGATTTCAGAACCGGCTTGGGAAATTACGCCTCTGTGTACGGATGTGTGAAGCTGCGGTTTCGCGAGGGTGTCTGGGTGTATGTGTGTTCGTTTGCATGTGTGAGTGTTGTCGTGTTTTAAGGACTCGCGGTAGCTGAAAGTTAATATCTCAGAGCTACCGCAAAAGAAACACGTGTAGTCGTAAACATGTTTACACGTTTTCTTTCACTGTAGCGAGAACAACGATTTACGTTCACTTCAAATATACTGTAGTAGGATTCTATTCCAACTTTATCGTATTTAAGTTCAAAAATTAAATATTTATTAACATCGTGTTGAAATCAATATCTCTTTTATTGACGTAATGAAATTAAATTGCGTGATATTATGACTAAGAATGTACCCATAATTAAATTGTTTATAACATAACACTAAACAGATTTTATGAATATTATATCCCCAGCACATTGTAACAGGCGTGACATGTTTATTGCCAGTCATCATAAAGTAAAGTTTAGAGATTGGAGAAATTACAGCAAAAGTCCTGGATTAACTTAGAGTGTATCAGTAAAATTAGAAATCAGTCAATATATAATCGAGTTTTTGGCACTGACTATTTTCGAGTAAATAAATAAAAACTTTAAAAGGCGTTGTTCCTTCATTTCTTAAATAAAGAAAATTTAGATTGACACGTCTTCAACCCCTTCCTTCGTAGCTAATGCTTCTGTTAATTCATTTTCTTCTTCGGAGCTCCAGAATAATTTGTTACGGCGAATTTTAACTTTTAAATATTCTGCGAGCTAAAATATGGTATTGTTTGATTTACTTAGTCCCTCATTTTGCGAAGTGGGTCAACTTAATAAGCAAGTCCAGCGCGTAATCCGCGATTAGCGTACAAGGTTTGTTTTCACCAGGTGTCCAGAACTCCGGATTTATCTATGTAGCCAATACAAGACGTTACAGACTATGAGAACCGCACAATACCATTCAGGGAATGTTCCAAGAAAAAAGAAGTTCATTGTCTGCAGGACGGCTCCCAGCACGTTTGACTGCGAAGTGAACACAACGATTACGAAACGAAACGTTATGTCCAGTCCAGTTGACATACGGCAAGAATTCAATGTTGCGAATAGTTTAGTACTGTTGACTATTGAGTCATGCCTTGATCATATTACCGACGTGTTGTCATGTACAACGACTTAAATTTAACTTTGTTTTCAAACAAGTCGTTGTTCAACAGGATGTGACCTCGATGCTAAGATAAAGGACGTTTGGTCTGAACTCTGGATGCAAAGTTGAAGGATTACATTCTCTGCAT